AACGAAAGAAATGGAAAAATCATATAAATATTTCTATGAAAAAGAATCAATACCAAACATAGAAAACCATGCTTGAAAAATACAATAAAAATATGAATATTAGTTTCAATGAGAAGCTAACAAATGAGATTACAGAAGAAGTAAAGGAAGTAATAAAATCTGCAAATAATAATAGAACCACCGGTACAGATGGAATTCCATACGAATTTTATAAAAAATATGAACAAATTTTAATACCTCTTCTTGTAAAAATGTTTAATAAATTTATTTAAGCCGGAATATATAAATAAAGAGTTTGCAGTAGGAATAATCATCCTAAAACCTAAAGTAAAAAATCCAAAATATACAGATGATTATGTGATCTTAAATTGTTTTCAAAAATATTAGCGAATAGAATTAAAAACAGTATAAACAAAACGTTATAAATGACGGTCAATCCTGTTGTATAGATTAATTAATTAATTAATTTTTTTTTATTTTTTAAAAATTATTTTACTATTACATTCATTTATTGATTGATTTATTAATTTTATAAATAAATATATAACAAAATTAATTTATTAGCTCATGAAGCTCGTGAAGAAATGATTTTTTAAACAATATAGCATGGTTTTGAGTGCAATTTTTTTAAATTTTCAAAATTTTCTATTTTATTATCATAATAACTATATTTAAAAGCAATATAAGCACATTTTGAAAAAATCCGATACAAAAAAAAATTCCGAGTTGAGAGATAAGTATAGCACTATAATATTCCGAGCGCAGCGTACCGACTGGCAGTCCGACTCCCGATTTTTTTTTATATTCCATGTTTTTTTAAAATATTTTTATTAGAGGCAAACTCAACACAAGCGAAAGACGGTAAAAAAATCAAAACTATAAATATTCACTACTAATAATCGTTAATATATAAGATACCAAAAACTAATTTATCCCATATAAATGCATGTAAAATGAATGGTGGTCGAGCCAGACCGTTCGAAGATAAATAAATATCCGACCGACGGAGTTTTTTTTTTTTCTCTATTTTTATTGGCCTCGCTTACTCGAGCATTTAGCCACCTACAACATATTTTAATTTCATTACAATATTTTAATTTTAATACAATCTTCATGTCCATACTATTTTACTTATATAAATCCCATTCTTCTTCCTATTTTTATATATTCTATCCTATTTTATGTACTCATCAACGTAACTTCATTCTTCTTTTTTCTTCTTTTATTATCTATCATTATATCTTCTATCTCCTTACGTCTTCATTACTTCTATTCCTACTTCCATTACTTCTTTCATTACTTCTATTCAATTTAATTTTTATTCTCAAACCTTTTTATATACGATTAAACTATTTTTAATACTATTTCAAACTATTTTTAACTTTATTTCAAACTATCTTTTTAACAGAATTTCTATATTATGCCGGGGATTCGAACTTCGAATCTTCGGCGTGTGAGTCGGAAACGCTACACATGAGCTAATTCCGCCACGACGGAGGGTTAAAAGTATTATTTTGATTGTAGTAATTAAAAGAAATAATAACGGGTTATGGATACTGATCCACCTGACCCGGGTGGCGGTGAGTCACATTCCTTATCTGAACAAATCACAGTTTTGTTCGGGACACCGTCCAGTGCACATCAATCAAAACAAATTATTGTATACCTGAGTGATTGAGTCATACGTACAATGGCATCAAACGTAGGCGATCGCCCCGGCCGACCGCCTGATATAAACACTAACTGTTCATCACTTGGAACAACAATTGCGTCGGCTATGAACACATTGAACTCAATTGATGATATGTTTTGTAATTACAACGAAAATCAAAGTGAAATAATAACATCTCCAAGTATTATCAACAATATTAATAACTCAATCGAGTAACCGTGTTGTAGCAGTGTTAATCCAGTGACAAATATAGTGCCGGCAAATATAAACAAGTGGCAGACAGTTCCGTGCAGTGCTAAAAGGCGTAAAGTGTGTGGTACAAAAATCAATCCTCTGGAATTGACCAGCAAATTTAGTGTCTTATCAAACGAAACGCCAAGTAACGCCGGTAACGGCAATAATTTACAAACACAACAAACAATCAGACTGCTGTAACCGTAAAACCGCCTTCAATTTATATATACAATGTCATTGATTTTGCCGACATGATGCAAACAATTAGTGCCGCTTTACAACCGGGTCAATTTGTCACGGAAACTCTGCCTAATAATATGGTTAAGATTAACGCCACTGTCGAAGACGTTTATAGAAATGCTGTCAGGTTTATGAAAAATAACAACATTATATTCCATACCCATCAAATAAGCAGCGAGCGAGCATTTAGAGTGGTGCTCAAATATATGTTCTATACAACTGACATAAATGAAATCAAAACAGTCATCGAGAAATACGGACATACAGTGAGAAACATTACAAATTTGAAACAACGCATCACAAAAAAGCCGTTAAATATATTTTTTGTGGATTTAGAACCAAATAGTAACAATT